GAGAGGAGATCTGGTAATAGAAAAGTCCGGCTAATCCAGCATGACCCGAGGCCACCAAATCTGCCTCTGCTTCCTCTCCCCCTCCTGTCCGCTAACTTCTATTTCACAGCTTTAATTGGCCATTTATATGTAGCATCTTACTGGAGTTTCCAGCATCAGATTAAAAAAAAAGTTATTTCTCCTTTCCAAACCGTTCGATTTCAATGTTTTTAATTCGATTACATTATCAAACTAAGTTGGTATTTCCTCAAATATTCGCAATTAAAATTCTACATTCATCGTAGCTTTTTTCCAGATTATTTTCGCGAAAGTAGTTTATATAGCTAGAGAAGACTTTTTCAATTTTCAATAAAATCTATATAGCCGTTTGGACGCTAAAGGCTGTCCTGGCACTCGTTTTTCAGCCGCCATTTTGAAAGGAAAGGGCGGGTAATAATGTGGAGTTGGTAGGACCTTCTTCGGGTAACCCCTAACTTTAACTTGACCAAATCTCAGGTTTTTTTGTTTTCATTTTTCCGATTATACCTATCTTGAAACGTAAAACCTCTAATTTTTAAAGGACTTAACTTTTTTATTTTTGGTCGATTGCAAATGATCGTTAATGAAAATAATAAACCACAAACATATTACAACGATAATAATGTTTGGAACAATGACCTATTATAAATTGCAATTTATTTTTCATATCTGTTTATTCAAAAGCAATCATAACTGACCTAATATAACAATAAAAACGTACTGATAATAAAGAATAGTTCAATCACGTATCTTTTACTCAAAATATTCGACCCCGCGTAAAGTAAAAGGTGACAATGTTCTTGTTGCGGGTGGGGTGAGTTCAGTTGGTGATTGTTAGAGGGAGCTGCCTGTGGTGGTTTCCTGTTTGCAGTTGTGTATGATGAATCAGCAAAACTTTCTCAGATTCCGAATCCATTAATCACAAAGGCGTAGGCTTTTAATTATTTATTTCTCTCAAATTAAATGTATCGGTTTTTTTTTTTTTTTTTTTATAAATGGCATTTTCTCTTTGTTTAGTTAGAGTATTTTCAAAAATTTATTTTCATGAAAATAATTAGTCAAGATTAATTCACAAAATCCCCAGGCGTTCACATGTTTCACTCTGGTACACCGAGTTCAAGTGGCTTTATCCTACTTCCCGACGACAATTCCTCCTTGGTGTTTTCCTTTTCCAAGTCCTCAGAACCAAAAACCCTCCCTACATCCTGGAACTCCTTACTGTACGCTCCTCTATCAACTCTCTCAATACTAGGTCTCAACCTATAGACTTATATATCCCATCCCAATAAACCTTCCTCCTTCAGCAAATCCTTCGTCATTCGTGCTACCTTCTTCTGGAACCCTCTTCCTACTTCCATGCGTCAATCCTCATCCACAAATTCCTTCAAATAAATCCTGTTCCAACACCTACTCCACATTCAAACTTCCCCTAACATGTAAAATTACTTGCATCTATAAAATGTTTAATTTCAATCCATTGCACAATTGAAATAACAATTAACAGTTAATTAGTTTGTATTTTTATTATTATGTAAGACTAAGACCCATAAATTTGTAACTCTGTTACTATTCTTAGGGGACAGTAGTCCCAGAATAAAATTATTTTTTCATTTTCAAAATAGATAATAGGGATTTTTCTTTAAACGTTAATTTGCAGCCGTCTTGTCTGTAGAAAATCGGCAAATGAGAGGCACCCCTTCCCTGGCTTGATTAAATTACTTTAGTTGTTTAAGGAAGATCTCTCATCCAACGCCTTTTGAGTCTCCTCCTCATATTCAGCGATTTTAGCTGTGGCCATGTCTATTATTAAACTACTGATTCGTTCTTTTTACTTTGTATGAAATAGTTGGTAAAGGTTGGTGATACGTGTTGGTCAACTGTTGCAGGTGAACGTCAGTATGTAGAGTTTAGAGTTAGTCACCTACCAAGGTGATTTAGTTATGAGTAGTAATAATTTTGATTATAAAGTTTTATGAACGGTACTTTTTATCAGTCTGTTTATCAGCGATGAGTATATCGATATGCGTATGTATATGTTTTCAGTTTTAGTTTTGAAGGTTAAAAAAAGAGTTCAAATGATTTAAATGATGTTTGACGTATGCTAGCATCTACCTTCTAACATCAACGATAATTGATTTCTTGCTATTTAATTTTTATTTTTTACTTATTTGTTACTCTTAAAGAAACATTATTTTTTTATATTTTTTATAAATTATAACTCGTTGTATTGATCAAACCTCTGAATATATATTTGCTATCAATATATATGTACCTAAATAATACAATCCATATAGTCAGCCATTCGCGATAGCCAATCAGGTGGCTGCCCCGCACGGCTGGCTGCCCCCATGTGGCAAATGGTATTGCCGCTGGCCGCTAGAGCGCGCTGGGTGGTAATCGAATCATGGCCACCTAGATCGGTTAATTACAATCAGTTCTCATCACTGAATCCATTCGGCTGTTATTTCCTGTTATTGGCTTCTATTATCTTAACGGTTCGTTATTGTTGGCAAATTGTACACAGTTGCAGTTTGTAGCGCGTGTTATTGGCAGCTGGCATGGCTGGTTACGTCCAAGGAACCAAAATGGTTTGTTTGAAGGCCGTATCGATATTTTCAACTGTTTCATTTTAGTGAATTCTGTAAACATCAATTTTGTGGCTTATTAATTTAAAATAGAGCATTTAAAAAAAAAAGGTTTAGTTCTACGTGATAAAATGTCCATGCTCGGGTATGTTGATATTTCAGTATATACTATTACGTAAAAACCGAGAGCAGGTTATTTCAGTAGGTAAAACACTGATTTCTAAACCTCAAGGTCCTGAATTCGAACCCTGCTAATTACCGATCGCAGGTAATTATTTATTCTGTCATATCAGCCTTGGATCGAGCCTGGGGCCAGGGGACCCTTTTTGGGGCACACTCAGTCTTTATAAATTGGATATTCTTAATTAAACAATTAATTATTAGGAAAAAACTCACGGTTCGGCGTGATCTTGGCTCGATAACCTCATTGCGCAACAGCTGGCCTTCAAGCATACTTATGAAGTACTGTACCGCAAAACCCTTAATAGATTGTAGTGGTACAGGTTGTTTTGTTTTTTGTTTTGTTTTTTACTTTACTTTACTTACGCAAAAACTTGGAAAATATATAACTAAATACTGAAGGAAGTTAGTCGACTGTTCTACATATCATGGGCGATAAATACTATTACGTTGACGAAAGGTGGTAAAGAATTGTTGCTCGGAATAAATAATAATAAGAAATGTATCGTAAGTGGAAAAAAAAAGGCGGCTGTTTCAGTGTAATAGACATTGGTCGCATTATGTGCGAACACGCAAAGAAATTTAAGTCTTGAATTCTATAAAAAATATTAAACAACTAACTTGAAGAGGAAATAGAGGCTAGGTTAAATACGGGAAATGCATGTTGTTGTTTTACTACAAAATGACTTATCTCATGTCTCCAATCCAGAAATCTAAATCAAAATAACCTTATTATCCTTCCTACTGTTCTTTATGGATGCGAAATGTGGCGCTTACATTAAAAGAAGAATAGAATTCTAAGGTTTTTTAAAATAAATAATTGCATAAAATATCTTGATCAAAGTAGTCGAAGCACGAGTCGACCGCAGAATTTAAGTAGTTACTAGTCGCTGAATCGCGTGAAATCTTCTCGAATTGGTGAAGAAAACGGGAATGGATATTTTTTTGGTTTACTAATTAACGAATCCCTAAAAGTTCCAGTTACTGAGGCCGCACCAAGCCAGCTCCAAGGCGCACTGCATTTCAATTTTTTAACTAAATATGATCCTTTTTTTAAAAAGTGAAATTTCAATCTTACATACATTTTGTATCACTTGAGTTCTATCGCAGCTCAAATTAACTAATCATAACTTCGATAATGGCTGAAACTGAAAGGGGCGTGTTAACTGGTAAAGATGGTCACTACTTCTACTGAACGGGTACATATCCGAGGCTTTGTTGTGTATGAGGTTCAGCAGAGCGCTCTATCGGACAAGGTAACATGGATTTGCTAACGCCGCTTATTATTAACAGTAGTAATTCTTACTTTATGCTTTACGAATTGCTTAGTAAGGCAGAATTGAATTGGCTGAAATATTAGACAGCTCGACTTCGACGAATAAGATGCCGCAGAGGTTTGCTGACGGCCTCCTTAGATCGATATGAAACAATCGAGATGCCGCAGAGGTTTGCTTATGGCCTTCTTAGATCGATATCCAATAATCCCTCACTAGTCGAGAGAAGAATGTACCCCGGACCCCTCAGAAATTTAATATGATCCATTGAGATGCAAATCGCCGGCTCGGAGATAACCCAACTCCGGGTCGAGACCAGCCCTGAGCTCCCTCCTCGCTTCAGGTAGGGATGGATGCTTCAGCTACTCCTATCTATATCAATATCTTGCACCGGAGAAGAAACGCTATCAGTAGGCCTTCTTTCCAGTCGTTTATATAGGATATTTCCAGCTATTACCTTCTGGAATGAAGAAAATCTTTTGTAGTAAGAAAAGAGCTTTATAGATTTCAAATAAAAAAAAATACAAAATACTTATAATAATTTCCAGAAATCCCAAATCTAATTCGGTCGGTGGTAAAAAAACCTTTTTCGGCTCTCAGGAATAATAGATTTTGACTGACAAGTTATCGGAAGATTGAGCATTTCCTGGAAATGTGGAAAGATCAGTTTTACCTCTTTGTCTCTAGGGTCCTCATATAACTGTATTTTTTAAAAATGTCATGAATGAATTACAATGAATGGCTAAAATTTAAAACCTTAACTTAATCATAGAGGAAGCATCAAGCTGGGACAGGGTGTTTTGTGTAAACAGTATTTTATAAACAAATAATTCAAATTAGAATTTAATCTGTCATCGTTAGTAATGGACTTGTTGACAAAACTTGCAAGTCATTCAATTGTCCTCCTGGTATTGCATCTGGATATAACTGCATATTTTTTCAGGTTCGGACTTGGACTCGATCCGGGCGCTCTTCAACGAGAAGGAGAAGGAGCTGAGCCTGGCGGTGGCGAAGGTGGAGGAACTGACGCGGCAGCTGGAGGAGGTTCGCCGGGGGCGACAGTCTGCATGCCCGCCGCCGCTCTGCCAGGAGCTCGACCGGCTGAGGCGGGAGCTACTGGTGAGTATGGCGTCATTCATATCTCTCTGCTCTTTGCTAGTACAAGGCCATTCATATCTCTCTGCTCTGTGCTAGTACAAGGCCATTCATATATCTCTGCTCTTTGCTAGTACAAGACCATTCATATCTCTCTGCTCTTTGCTAGTACAACACCATTCATATCTCTCTGCTCTTTGCTAGTACAAGACCATTCATATCTCTCTGCTCTTTGCTAGTACAAGACCATTCATATCTCTCTGCTCTTTGCTAGTACAAGACCATTCATATCTCTGTACTCTTTGCTAGTACAAGACCATTCATATCTCTGTGCTCTTTGCCAACTTCAAGTAAGCTAAGATCGGTTTTGTTGCCTTAGTACCGCAACAAGCTGAACGAACAGCAGACGGCCCGACTGAGCGAACAGCGAGAGGTGCTGTGCCAGAGGCAGATGGAGATGGTCAGCATCGACAAGAGGATCGCGGAGCTGCAAGAACGGCTACACCGGAAGCGGCTGCTAAACCAGGAGCTCGCTAACCAGATCACAGCCGCCTCCAACAAGGCGTCCCCTTCCCAACTAGCCAGGTAAACCAAGAGGCCATCAATATTGTATTTATATTATTATAATTTGCCTTCAATAAAATGGGGTGCGAATAAATTGTGAGATTTCCTTTTTTGCCCCTAAATAATGTAATGTCTCAGACTAAACCATTTAGACGAACAGACTTATAAGAGATAGTAATGATGTAGCTTTGTATTTTACATCTCCTAATCGTGTTTTCGTTGCAAAAGATATGAGTTCTAAAGAGCTTATTGAAAAGGTAGCGATGATCACATCTATTTTCGTGATATAAAATTTAATATGAACATTACAACACACGGCTTCCTTAATGGAGTGTTCCCATTACTTTCTGTAAGTTTATTTTTTTTTTTTTTTTGGCCAAAAATCCAACAGGTTAATCTATTTTTTAGAATGAAAAGTATGTGGAGTTAACTTACTCCTAATGACTGGAAGTGAAATTTGCAGGAGACTGTCTACAGACAAATTTTTGTATTTTTCATCCCAAACTCATTAGTCTGAGTCCCTTTTCGTATTCAAAAGATAGTTACGAAGGAGACAGGTGTTCTATTGGTGAGCCATCCATACGAAGAGTAACAGGTTCGAAGAATTACTTCAAGAGAGTGTAGAAATTTATTTATTTAAGATCATAGCTCAATTCCCAGAATCCAGTGGCACAATCAAACAGCGTCGGATCGTCTCCGCAAACTGGTGCTACAATGGATTAGTTGTTTATTTCGAGAGCAGTGTAATATCCCATGCTACTTACATCCGCCTGTACAAAGCTTTAGTAAGGCCGGTACTGATTTGTGCTGCGGAATGCTGGACCATTACAAGGAATCAGGAACAGGCTCTGCTAAAATTTAAGACACAGTCCTGAGAATCATCTTGGGTGCAATATATGTAAATGGAGTCTGGAGACAGCGGTCTAATACTGAATTAATGCAACTGTATGGGCCTTAGATGGACTGGACATGTCATAAGAATACCTGAACACCCTGTCCTAAAAAACCTCTTAGAAGAAATATTTGTCAAAAGTAGAAGTGGAAGACCAATGTTGCGGTAGATGCACCTGGATGTCTTATTCATGCTTGGAACCATGTCCGGAACTAGAATGTGGCAGTGCGGAATAGGAGTAACTGTGGGTCAAAGCTGCAAGAGGACTTGTCTCCAGGCCTCATAGCTTCATGTAAAAAGAAGAAGGTAGGTATTATGAAGCTCTCCAGAGTATTGTTTGGTATTAACGTTAACTTTTTGCACCCCGGTGCTCAATTTAGAACCTGACTCAATGTATAAGTTAAAACGCTGTGGATGTATATATTGTAATGTTGATGGTCTGCGTTGCTAGGGGACAGAGCGGGCAGCTGCAGGGCAAGCAGCCGATCCTGAGGTCGGTCCAGAGCGGGAACATCGCCGCTGTGGAGCCCTACCACCACGTCCCGGCCTTCGCCAGCCCCCCGCCCGCCGAGCAGGAGTTCTCCAAGCCGTCCGAGGTAACCTTCTTCTTCTTCATTCTATATGTTCTGTACTGTAACCTTCCTCAGCGATTAAAAGTAGATTTTTATATTTCATATTCATTACTATTTATATTTCAAAAATTATACGAGTAATTACTTCAGTAAGGTTATTGTTGCAACATTCATTGAACGAAATAAGTTGTGCCTGAATGCCCTCTTGAGTCGCTAAATAATAAAATATTTCTAATTTTTTTTTTTTTAAATAGAAGTGTCTTGTTACTGTTACAGCGAATTTGAAATCAGAAAAATAGTACTGTATAGAAATATGTGCTATTCATATTTTTGTAGAACGGAGAACCTAACAGTTGCAGCATAGCTGAAGTAGTAATGATGTAAAATTAATATGAAGAACACGTTTCTTTTATTGGTTTTCGTATCATTAAATTAAATTGATGGTAGATAAATGCTTTTTCAACTTGGAATTGTTTTAGTGATTTTAATTTTATTTCTAAAACAAAATTTTAATTCTAGAACTATACTTAATAGTTTTCCAACGTCCATGTTGTACTGAATAAAAAACATGTAAGTCTAAAGGCAAATGTAGTCCGTACATTGCCAGGCAGGTCTTAGAGCTTCCACCGTAAGGAGATTGCAGTGTTGGAAGAAGCTTGGGATCGTTTAACCGAATACGGTCATATCATGCAAGATTGCTATTCACGGTTCACTGGACGATCGGCCTTAATACTTTTAAGTATTGATTAAAGTTGCATTTTCTTAAAGTCTCAAAAGTTAATCTCTGTGTATTGTATTAGCTCTTTGCATTCATGTGCCGTTTCATAAGACGACTTATTTTCGTGATAACGACTCCACACTTTTACTTATATTAATATAACTAAAATATTATAGTTTATTAAAATTAAATAAATGGGTTTTAATAAGAAAAAACAACTTTTATTCTTGGATTAATCCATTTAGAATATAAAGTTCATGGAATGATACATGTAATTTCTCCGACCATATTCAAAGAGATATTTGATCATTTTTGTATTAATTAACTGATTAATTAGCGGTAGTTATTTTAAAACAATTTTATTTAAGCTGTGATATTTCCTGAATTCACGACATTAGCAACTTCTTTAAAAAATCATTATCATTAAGAATTTTAATTATCTAAACTTAAAGTCAAGTCGAAGACCTAACATTCTGTAAAGTAAATATATTTTATATAGATTTACTATTATACTCGCCTTTTGTTATTTATATTATTTTTCTCCTCATCAGCTCAGTCGCTCCTACAATATGAACTATTGCTAACAATCGATAGCTATCGGCTATCGATAGTTGTGACAATAGTCGATCTCCAAATCCCGCCTGATTAGGCTATATTTGTGCCAGGTTATAAACAAACCTCTGCCGCCAGTTTCCACTTTTTGAAATGTATTCAGAGCATTTGCCTGGTAAATACATTTCATAAATCATTAATAAGTTATTGGAAAAATTCAGGTTCCGTGTTTAAATATTTCATTACTTAACTTTTATCTCAGGAGGAACTGTATTTTAATTTCTTAAAAAGTAAAATGTAAACAAATTCACATATTTTTCCATACCAACACTATATTTTAATATCTGGATTTTTTAAAAATTTTCTTATAAATTTTAATATGAAAATAAATTATTGAGATTTTTAACAATACAATTGAGATTTTTTTTTTTAAATTGTTTTATCAATGAGAATAATTGACATCTCAAGTAAATGGCTATCATTCACTGATAAATTTTACCCAAAATGGTCATTTGTAGGTCTTTAATATATTTGTTTACCCTTATTTGCGACATGTAAAATTAGTTGTCCCACTTTTCTCTTCATCTGTAGTCTTATAAGTGGTGCTAAGCAAATAAATTAATTTTTCATAATTCTTTCCTATTGTTTTTCTAAATTCTAAAATATCTGTTATTTGAGATATTATTTTAAAGAACATTAATTAATTAATTTATTATTAACTTTTTTATACTATATATACTTAAGTGATTTAACTAAAAGTGCGCTTTATGCGCTTTGAAACAGTGAAAAAAAGGGTTCTTGTGATTTGGATTTCTCTAGGTTATTCAGTTTCAAACAATAGTATTTTAGTTTAAAATGTCATTAATTTAGTTATAAAGTATTGATTATTGCGATATCTTGATGTACGAATGCATGATGAGAATAATGTTTTGTATTATATTAAAAAAAAAATGCACTAATAGTCAAAAAGCTAACCTAAAGTGATGAAATTTTTAACATTTACTGATGTTTTTGCAGCTCAACAATAAAACTGGCTGAACAATGTTCAATAAAAATACTTACTCACTATAATGTTATGCTATGCAGTTCACCTCTGGATCTCTGTAAACTGAATTCTGCAGAGAAAATTTTCAATGCCGTCAGACTAATGACAAATTGACATTTGAATTTGATCATGATGGATTAGAAATATTTTTCTGATAATAGTAAACAGTTTACAGCCTTGCTCAAGATTTTTTTTTGTTATTAATTTATTCCTTATCATAAGCTGTCATCAGAATGGCTTTAAACCAGAAAAGGCCACTTGGTTTAAAATCGCCCATATACTTGTAGATCTGAAAATAATAATTAATTTACACAAACCATTAAAGTTCTGTCAAATTCTATGAGAGAAAAACAGAATTGATTGGAGTTTTTTTTTTTCCAGATTATGAAAAGTGGTTTTGGGTCCGGCAACGAAGGCACAAAACCATTGAGCGCGCCAGCTACTCACCATTACGTACAAGAGACAAAAGGCAGTGGTGGAATAGGATCTGAGGAAGGATTCGGCCTGGGGAAAGCTGACCCAAAATATCAGACCCTGCCTTACAACACCAAGTTCTGTGGGGCCAAGAGGCAAGGAGCCGATGGCAACGAAAGTAACGACAATATTGAGGGAAATAAATCCAATAATTCTTCATTATTGAACAATAACAATCAAATTAATGTTGCTCACAGTGCTCCTATATTACCTGGTAATTATTACAATACTGTTATATCTATGAATCAATAAGTAATTGTGTAATGAATAAGAATTGTGTATAAATTTGAATGGTGAGGATGTTGCTTCCAATGTTATGTCTATTAATCATACAAAATATTTTTTAAATTTTCATTTGCTGATGTTTTAATCCATATTTTAAAAAATACAATGTTTTAAAGAATATATCTTGTCTGAAAAACTAATTCAATAAACATAGAAAATAAAAACTTAATTTAATATAGAAAAATCAGAAAAAGGCATTAAAGAGATACCGTATTTTACAATTATTGCCTAATTTTGTTAATAATTTTGTTTTTATGTTTATATTAAACACAAGTCGTGCTTAAAATCATTTTTTTTTTTGTCTATTTCTCTTGTATAAGGATCCATGCATCTTTTGTATAAAATAAAACAATATTTTTATACATACAAAAAAAATGAATAATATATTTATTATTTTTGGCCCATGAAAACTTAAGACTACATTTACTTTTATTTATTCAATGCTTACCCTTTAATTACAGGCGGAAGGAAAGAGTTAGCGATGGCCCTTGCTAACCAGAAGCATCAGCAGCCATCATCGTCGCCCACGTCCTCCACCAGTTCTTATTCGTCAATATCTCACCTCTCTCACAGGTCATTATTATCCATAGTATAAAACTACATTCATTAAAAAGAAAAAAGAAAAGCTATAATAAAATTCTATATGACATAATGACTGTATCAACTTATCAATTTTCGTTAAAGTAATTTGTTTTCCATTTTTTGTTTAGTGAAAACTTTCAATTACAATGGACTCGTTATAAAAATCTTTTGATCTGTAATCGTACTCATAATTCACATAAATTAATTCTTAAATAATCCAAGAGAAGAAATTACTGAAGTTGTTATTAAGATTTCTGGTCTAACCTTCAAATTAATCTATCTTGCCTATTAATCTATCAATATATTATATTATAATAATAAATAAGTAAATAAAACAAACTCAAATGTTTGTCATTTTCAATGATCCTAGTCCCAGAATAAGCCTTTTATCTATCATATGCCTTAAATAAAAAATGTCTTGTATTGAAAAAATATTATTCCTGTATCTACATTATTATATTAGCCGTTACTCACTGTGTTATATATTTTTTTTTATTATTATTTGGAAAAATTTATACTAATACCAACCCATGTTTTTCTTAGAAATGTACAACAATAGATCTATCAATATCTTAATTTTGTTTCTTTAGAATTTATTAAACCCAAATAATATTTTTTATTTGAAATATTGGAATAAAACTTTCAATATTGCAGCAACTCGAACTAACTTAACATCAGACGTGCTCCAAATAATACTGCAGTTTGGCTAACATTATTGTTTGTTGTTGCAGGGTTTATGGAAGTAACTTGCTCAACTCATCGCTTCTTGCACGAGGCCAGCCTGTCGGTGGGTCGACGACATCTTCGACATCATCCCTTGCAAGCGGAGGGAGTGCTAGCAGTCACCTGGTAATTACAATATCATTTATCTTATACAATGTTCTTCTTCTTCCTGTTATTATATTATGTTATTAATGTAAAACTATCAAGTAGACTTTAAAAAAACAGTTGTTAAGCACTTTTATTTTATTTTTTCTGTGGAAAAATAAAATGCACCAGAGCTATGAAAGGCCTATTGTATGTCCTAATTCAATGCTGTTCCTGTTAAGAACATTGTTTTCGCAAAATATTGATAAATTGACATAGAAGACTTGTCAGCTTGACGAGCTCATTGTTCTTGTGGTTAAGATTCTTTATCATTCCCAAATAACAAAAACCTAATCCCAGTAAACCTGTTGCACCAACTGGTGGTCTGACAAGCAGTTTCATCCTTCTGGCAGGATCTACACAGGAGGTGGCTACGTTAGCTTGAGTTTGGTCATGTGTTAATTCAGTTTACAGTGATCCGTAATTTTCTTAAGAGAATTTCTGCTTGAGGCTGCTTGCAAGTCCCTTCTCTTTTCTGCTTGCAGGTCACTTCTCTTTGTACAGAACCCATTCAGAACAGCCTAGAATGAGTTGTTTTTTTAATACCAATATTTCTTAGCTTCTGCTTCATAAATCTCCCTGATTCTTCTTTTGATAAAGCTCATGCCGATACCACAAATTGGTTTGGGTGTTATTGCAGTGGTTTCAGAGCCTCTCTTGGCTAATTCATCTGTTTTATTGTAACCCTTTTACCATCCCGCTTGCTTGAAGGAATCTTGAGGACAATTCTAAGAGTATGACTTTTTATGACAGTAAGTTGTTGAAATGGTGTTCTCTAAGGTGTAATTCTCAAGTCAAGAAACTTAATGTACTGTCCGTGCAGACCCCACGACTAAATTGTATCTTTTATGTTATTATTCTCTTTTTAAATAGAAAAAAAAATTATAAAAAATCAAAGGTTTTCAAAACTAAGTCAAACATTAAATAATATTAATAAAAATGATTGAGATAAATTGAAAAATTTGTTAACTCTCTACTCATGTATATTGACTAATAACTTGACCTATCTGTTATTATGTTAAGTTATTTTATTCTTTCTTTTCATTGAAAAGTATCATTAGGCCATTCGATATACCAAATAATAATCAATTTTTCAAGAAACAAAATTAGAAAAGCTTGTAACAAATTTGAACGTGTTACAGGTGGCTACCGTAACAAGTCAACCAACAGCAGTTACGTCACGCCTCACCCTACCTCCGACGCCACTTATTTCTGATATTCAGGTAATTTGTCTTGAGGTTACATGTAAATATCATTCTTGACAGCATTAATATTGGAATTTCCATTTAGCTAAGGCTAACTGGAACTTTTAGGAGAAATTTATAAATTATATTCTCTCTCACTTGTATGGTATCTTAACTGACAAAAAATATATTTATAAAACATATTCTCTCCTCTAGTTTCTTTTGCTATTCCTTTATTCTTCTTTATGATTTTGAGTATAACGATGTATTTTGAAATATTTTATGATAATTCTTTATTTTATCACAAATATTTGATTTGTTTTACAGAAACCTGTAAATACTGTCTCACCGACGGCTCTTCAACAATTTTCTAATGTTTACCAAACATCGTCTACCAAAGTTCATCCTGTTCAGCCACAGACGATCAACCCACCATCACCGCAGGTAAGTTTTAAAAACCATTAATTATTGATTTATTTATTGAAACAAGAAAGTTATAAAAGACATATTAATAGAATCTACTTTGAATATTATTCTAGTTAGACATATTGCGACCATCATTGATACATAATATACTTTAATATTTCTTGAGATGGATTTTGGTTCACTGTTGTTTTTTTTTTTTTTTTATTTTAATTGCTGACATTTTCACTGACATCATCAGGGCTGAAAATTCAACATTTCATCAGAAATATAAGATATAAAGAGAAGGACATTAATAACTGTTGAGAAAAAGATGTAATTTATAATACACAGAAACTAGTAATATAAAAGTAGACCAAGAGAAAATTTTTTAGAAACTTTTTCTCTTGGCTTATTTATGTTCTCAGTCTAAATGACCCACATACTTAAGACTGAGCTAGACTAAAAAAAAATTTTTAACTGAAAATCCTGATTGTGTATCTGTCTAGTTAATTTTAAATATTTCTATTTTGCCAGTTCTGACTTTTCCCATACTATATTAATTGTATTCTTGAATATTTTCTAATAATATATTAATATTTCAGGGTGTTAAAGAAGATGTAGATAAGCCTGCTTTACCGCCTAAGCCTAGTGTCAAACCACAACCACCGCCGCGGCAAACCCACTCCAGCGTAGAGGTAAAAGAAACAGGCATCCCCCTTCCGTCTGGCCTCTCAGTTCTCACCACCCAGTGAGTATCAGCTTCTCTTCTAACTATAGTTACTTTGTAACAAACAGTTCTCATTGCCGTTGTAGCTATTCAATCCACACTGAAATTTTTCTAGTATGTTTTGTCAGAGCAGTTGCAGGTTAAGCATTGCATATAATACTTTTCTCCTGTCCACTTTTACATATCTGTTATGTAGTTACAAAATAGCTGTTATATGGTTACTCATAAGTTTTATCTGATGATTGGCATTCCGTTTCTGATCGCTATTTGATGGCCTATGAGATGATAACATCGCTTGTCAATATTGCAGGAAAAGCATTGAGTACAACTTGAGCGCTAACGATGAAAGTAGTAAACAAAAGGAGTTAGTGATTAAACCAAGACCGCTCACGATCAAGAAACAACCACTCAGCGAAATTCCAAGGCTTAGGTCGTTTGTTTCAAAAGAAGATGAGGAAAAAAGGTATTTTTTTACTATGGGAACATTTTTATTTAATTCTTTTGTTTTTAAATATGAATTCCCTTTTGTATTTATCAACTGCTTCTTCCTCTTCTTCTTCAGCTCCTATTACTTTAGAACTTTTGGTGTTTGTGATCTTGACTCATCTTCTCAAATCTTCCTTTTGTCGAATTGAACATAATTCCTATCTCTAGCCTTTTAATATCCATCGATTCATTTTCTGGCCCGCCTTTGCTCTCAATTTCTGTAATTTTCTATTTTGGCATTTTGAGAAAATCGCCTAGACAACTCAGCTGGCTTTCATGAATAATATACACAAAAGCTAAGGAAAAGTGAGGTTTGCTAATCCCTCAACATTCTCATGGGTTTGATATATGCGAGTTTTGATTATGTGGAATTACTAAAAAAGTTGTCTATGTATGTTTAGGTTTATGTTTAAATTATATGAATTCTTTCACCTCTGTTTTTGTATATAGTCTTTACTATCTATGGTTCGGTTATCTAATGATTCTATTTATCATTTAAGTGTTAGCAATGTGTATATACAATTTATAATTTGAATCTAATCATAATATCTACTGACAATAAGTAGATTAAAATGTTAAAAAGTAAAGTAATTGATTTGCTCTACTCTATTTCAGATTGGGTGAAGAATGTGTTCAAAATAACAATAGTCTCAGTAGCAGGACAGGGATTGATAATAATGCCAACAGTAACAACAACAATAACAGTGCTACGGTCAACAATAACTCGATGAACCTCCTCGACAGGGTCGGAATTATCAAGGAAGACGAGAGGAGGGAAGAGACGGCGAGCATCGACAGTCCGGATAGAGCCGCTCTCGACGACTCTGACCTTAGCGACAGGGATTCAGCTTCTCAAATCGGTAATAGGAAAAGAGTAAATTTTATTAGATCACAATAGTCTTATATTTTTTCTCTATGTATTCATCACAGCCTAATTATATTTGCTCCTTAATCATTTTCATTTTATCTTAACATGCCTGTTTTAAAATTTAATTGTAAAAATAAATTTGAGAAAGGTAATGGAAGAAAGAGAATCAGGTGGTATGTCCATGTGACGAATGGGCGACGATATGATACCAAAGATAATTATGGATTGAGAGGCAGAGAGTAGAAGAAGGCGAGGAAGACCCCCTGTTAGGTGGAAGGACCAGCAGAGGTGGAGAGTACGGCTGGTGGGGAGAGGATGGTGGAGGGACCTGCTCTAGAAAGAAGGAGTTTGGTTGAGGAAGATTTCATATTGAAGGAACTCCTAAATATAAAAATAAATTTTAGAAATATAAATAAAAATTATGTTTTTTTTTATAATAAAATTAAAAATAGGTTGAATTATATTATCATCCATAATATAATGTTTTTGAACTAGTTTAGCAATAGTTAGTGACAAATTAATAATGTAATTTTATTTTGAAAAATTTAGTTTCAAATTAATTAAAATGACATTTAAAGAGGTTTAAATAAACTTGACCTTATGAGTGGTGGTTTTACTAATAAACAGTTAAGTTAATGTGACAAGGGCAATTAAGACAATATGATTTTAGTTTTATTTTAACATAGGTACGTAAAGATGAAATAGAAAATGATTAATGAGGAAATGTAATTAGGCTGTGATATTGCTTTTGTTTGTTAAAGATATCCTCCCTTGAAAAAAAGGGCTGAAACGTTGGTGTAGAGAGAGTGAAAAAATAAGTAGGACTATTGTGATATAATAAGTATTTTTATTATTACTGATAATAAAGTCTTAACCAACAAGATTGAAACATATATAATAATAAATTTTCTTAAAATGCTCCATTAATCAAAATATATCTTATCTTTTGTTTTTTATTATCGCATTTAAAATTAATTTAAAATGTAATTTTATATAGTAAGAGAAGATAGTTGGGGGTCGCAGTTGCAGTAAAATTAAAAAAAAAAATTATCTTCTTTCTATTAACGTTTTACCCCAAGCTTTATGTCTTTATCAGGACTAAGCAGAGACAAAAATAAAGTTAGGATATAATAACGGTTGATGATAATAACCAATTATAGTTTAGTTTCAATTCTTTATTTTCAACGTTTGAGTTATCTGGACATCTTCAAGAGAATTTAGTAATTTTTATGTATTCAGTGCTGTCCTTGAGCCATGTTAAATTTTTAAATGTCCTAAAAGTTTAAATAAAGGATTTTAAGTGATGAAGCTTTTTTTTATTCTCAAGAATTAACCATTCATTTTTTATGGAAAACATTTTACTAATATTTTGTATAAATTATTGTGTAGATAAATGTTCAAGTTATTGATCCAAACAGGTAGTGACTCTGGTCAAAAGAAAGGGAACCTGAAGGGAGTGGGTGAGAAGACGTCGCTGTCTCGACGAGTGTCCTTTGATCCTTTAGCTCTTCTCCTGGACGCCTCCCTCGAAGGAGAGCTGGAGCTGGTAGCCAGGACGGCAGGGCAGGTGAAGGACCCTTCAGCTGCCAACGACGAGGGTATAACAGCTCTCCACAACGCGATCTGCGCTGGTCATCTCGACATAGTAACCTTCCTTGTTAGGTTTGGTTGTGATGTCAATGCTCAAGACAGCGATGGCTGGTAAGTTAAAATACTCAATTTTTTTCTTAGGGAAATGTGGGCTAAGTGCATAATTATCTTGTTAAGTTTAAACTCTAACCTTTGGTAAGAGCAGTCCTTAAACAAGGCATGCAATATGAAAAATAATTTTTCAAAAATTAGTCATAATAATTATTTGTTGCCTTTTGTAAACTAATCAACTCTTGTAAAAATAAACTATAAAATAATAATAGAATATAAGAAACAATGAATATCTTTTCATGCATGAAGGAATAACCTAATATTTATACACATTGCTACAGGAACCACTAAAATTTAATTATTAACACTAAATAACAAAAAATAAAATATTTAATACCAATCAAAACGGGAAACACAATACTACATAATGAACAGAAGGCATAACAACATATATTAATGTCTATTGCTATGATAAACAATCATAGAAACCACTATGTTTGTTTATCGACAGCTGACTAACAGACCAACAGGGTAGTTCCTCCATACCAACAGCTGTTAACTATGGCATGTAGGTTCTATTGAAATGTGAAGATAGATTGTAGAGAAGTAAGTTCCATCTGTGAAGTTGGATCGTTTGGTTTTTGCTGTGTCCAAGTTTATTCACACCAAATAATTCCAACGGGGCTTCGATAATTAAACTTTCAGGTGCCTCGTACATCCTTCGTGTAATACTGGATTTGTGCACCACTATACTGAATTATTATTCTTATAAATAAGGACCTGATTAAAATATGGGTCCAACCCCATAAATATTAACTTATTATTATTACCTTCAAGAGTTTAAATTATGAACATAATCCTCTCGAGAACAGTCTTGCTTTAAAAATTAAGAAATCTTTCTGTATTTCTCAAAGGAGATATTTTTTTTTTGCCACCCCATATTCTCATAAATCATCAATTAAATCCAATGATTCAGCCACTATTTTGAAGATCATATTCTTCAATAATGAAAAATTAAGCAAATCCTCTAGAAAAAGCAGGATGTGGATGAAGAAAAGGATCTTTTATTTGAGTATAAATCAAAAAGTATAAAATTTATGGGTGATTATATCAATAATAATTTGAGAGATTTACAAATTGCCTAAAGCAATAAAATAGTTTCATAGACCTTATTCTTTTCAGAGGAGACATTGTGTTTTAACGAGTCAGTATTTAAGCTTATCATAGCTATTACGGAATTAGGAATGTATAGAATCAAGTTTTCTGATATTTTTACCAACGCTAAGTGATCAATGAGTAAGGAGATGGTCCGAGGTGGCGGTTATAAAAAGACTAAAATATTGGGGAAAAAACTATTTTAGTCATTTTATGAACACCATCGCCGAACCATCTCCTTACTCAATGCTATACCACGGTCAACCATCAAGTATTCAATAATGATTAGATCTGAAATTTAACTTCTGTCTTAATTATGAAAATTTGAAAACTAATCGTTGACTTTTCAAGTACTATGTAAAAAATTTGGGTAATTTAGAAAAATGTGTCCCGAGTTTTTTGTTTCACTTAGTTTTTAGTTGGTTATAGTATATAGTTGTACTGTGTTATAGTAATTAGTTATTTTAAGCAGTCCTAGGTTGTATATATATATATATATATATATAAATCATTTTTTCTCTCTCTGTAATGTTTATGATATCAAATTGATCAAATAATTTAACAAATTAGCATGCGATTTTTTGTATTTGTTTTTGAGGACTCCCCTCCACTGTGCCGCATCGTGTAATAACACGACTATGGTGAGATTCCTCGTAGAGCACGGAGCATGCATATTTGCGACAACTCTTTCTGATCACGAGACAGCGGCAGAGAAGTGTGAAGAAGATGAAGAAGGTTTTGATGGCTGCTCTGAATATCTATACAGTAAGTTTAATTTAGGGTATTTTTTTACAAGCAATATTTATTAACTTTCATTATTTCTTTAAACCAAGTTTTAGTCATAAAGAAATTAGATATATTAATATAATTATATCAAAGAAAGGAATATTGTGGCTCTCTGTGAGTCCAATTCCGATCCCTGGTAAGGCAAAGAATTATTTATACTGTTTCATCAGCAATCGATCGACCCTCGTGGACTACATTCAGCCTTTGTTAAATAGGTACCCTTAATTAATTAAGGGGAAAACCTGGCCCAGTTACCTCCCTGTACAACCATTGGCTTAGAGACTGTATTTCATTACAAGGTACTGAGCCCTGAGCCCAAGACCATTCATGGGTTGTAAAGGTACATGTTCATTTTTGGTTTATATATATATATACATATACTGATGACATTGAAAGCTTTGTAGAATCTAATTAAACAGTTAAATGTAGTATTCCTCTGACCCTCCTTCCCTTTATAGGTTATATTTATTGTAGTAGACATCTCCCGGTATTTACTCCTTTATATGACATTGGGTGAGGGAATGAGAAGGAATACATAATATATAGGAATGTGAGGTTGCACTGTGAATTTTACTCAATTGCGGAGTGGACAAATTGCTCATTGGAAAATCTCATATCGATAAACAATCGAAAAGAAGAAAAAAGGTCCGATTAGGTAGCAACAGATGGCGAAGACGACGCCAAACACTTGAGGCCTGGACAGGAACACACGAAGACGTCATCTGGGAAGAGAGGCTTACTACATTGAAGACCAAGATTATCAAGCTGACCGTTCACTTATATATATTCATTTATTATCAGTTGTTAAAATAAATTTGTTTTGTTAGACAAGAGTGAATAGTCATTTTATTTAGTTGTCCTTTAGGCCTCACAATTGAAGAATAAACCAGGTGAGCCAATTCATTCAAAGTGTTAACTAAGTCCCACATTTCATATATGTATTCTTATTGTTTCTTCTCACACAGTGTCACAAAAGGTATTAGATTCCCGAATTCCCAATCACAGTTAAACACCCTCAAAAAAAGTCTATATCCAGTGCCGGGGTTTTATCTTAATATTCACAAGTGTAAATAACCTCAATCCCCGATATGAAAGCGGAAGGCTATTCGCCTATTCCCGCCAAAACTAATCATTTACAATTAACTTTCAGCAGGTTATTTACATTATTGATAACTAGCTTTACCCGGCCACACGCTGCTGTGGCTCAGTCTGGCAAAATGGAAAAGAAAGAAAATAGAAAGCACATATGTGTGGATTAATACCAAAGGACATTGTCATTTTTAAAAAGTTGAGAAACAAATTTGTCTCTAACATAGCTCCAATTTAAACTAATTCTAATGATTTTTTTTTTTTCATGATTCAACTTGAACATTCTTAATCATCAGAAACAGTCTAAGTTCAACTTATAAAACTAAAATTGACTTTATCTCCGCTTTCTAAAAATGACAGAGTTCCGTCTTTGATATGAAGCCACTCATATATAGACATCTTTAATTTTATTATTATTTTTTTTTTATATTTAATGTTTAACTTTGTGTTCACTATTTTATGGCAAGTAAAAATGTAAATGTTCGTCTGTTTAAACTCTTAAATCTTGGAAAGTTCTTTACCCCTTGCCTTGAAATTTTGGCTCAACATTGCGTTTACATACGCGCGTAGTTTAATATACCTACTATTATAAAATATAAGATGAAACTATACATATTTATTAAAAATGCACCATCAGTTGGATGTAAAAGCAGCATATGCGATTCAAAATATTTTATGATACTGTTTCAATGTTAAAGATTTTCAAATATCAAATGTGGCAATGCATTGAAATTGCACTATACCATTTACCGTAGTGTTAATTCCTGTGCATTAGAACTGCCTTCCATCTCCCTCAAAAGATTTGGCATACCCCTCCTAAGATATTTGATCGCTTGCTTCTTCTTAATAACAACTTGATTAAATATAGTGTTATAAAAATTGTAGTGGAAAAATAAAACTTACTCATGAAAGAAACCCTACAGAAAACAAAACAACCTTATTCCAACGTAAAGTTAAAGAAAATAATTTGTTAAAAAATAAAATAAACTGAAATCATTAAAAAATTTATTTCTAAAATGAATATAAACAGTGATAGTTATTACTCAAAGGTTAAATATTTTTAAATAATAGCATATCGAATATTCAAGATGTATCATACTATTTCCATAATACATTAGGGGAAAAATAAAAAAATTAATATAAAGAGCATATAATAGTGTTGACCTACATTAGGAGAATCATATCACTTCTTCAAATGATAGTCTCAATTACTGTAGTAATTATCAAATTTTCGATTAATCAATAACAAAAAAAAAAAAAAATGAAATAGCCTTTGCTGAAGAGGAAGCAGTAAATGTTTAAAACTATATAACTCAGCAATGGATCGTCCGATTTACAGCCATTTATAGTGATATGTTTTTTGGCGGCCATTTCAAAACGAAAAGCCGGATGGTAATAAAATGTTCAAAAAACACTCCTGAATTCGTTTGCAAAGCTGTGTTAAAATTTCAAAGCAATCGGTGAGAGGAGAAGTGAGGATAGGAGAAGGAATCCAGGTTCCAGTGGGTAAAACCCAGGAATACTATTACCATCTTGGAAGTTGTTGTTTGGCAGAGAGACTAGTTGTTTGTAACTACATAAGAGAGGATCTCCCAGGGGTTAGAGTTGAGTAGATGAAAGTGTCACTATTTTGGAGGATGTGTTTGGCAGAACATAAGAAAATGTGAGAATACAAATAAATTTAGTACAACAAAGGAAGAAACAGTATATATAGAAAAAAGGTTAGCTTGCTAATCCATACTTAACTCTTTTAAAATCAGTGTTTAATTTTAGTATAAATAATAATAGTTTGTCCGAGGGTTTTGATCTGAATGTCAGTAACCCACACCTGAAATAAATTAATACTCTTATAATTCTGTTTATTATTTAATAACCTCTTATTTATTTGGAAATATCCCAATGGTATGAAGTGATCTCTTTCACGAGGTTATATACTTGTTAACAAATATAAGAGAAATATTACAATAGATAATCTGATTTTAGTTTGAATTTAAACTACTTATTATAAATTGAGGCGTAGAATTCCAAAACCAGCGACAATCTCCATTTTCAGTTTTTTTTATTAGCAGTTTTTGTATCAGATTAACACGAATTAAAAGAAATTACTTCGAAACAGTTAAATCTACTCTGATATAGCTTTTTTGGAGCATACTGTTATTTTACTGAACCATATTATCTCTAATCAGATTGTTATATTATCTCTAATGTTTGATTAAATTAAAAGAAGTAGTTGAATAAAGCTGATTAGTGACATTTTTGGTAAAATTGAATTATTATTTTGAACAAGATATTAAGGATATATATTACTTTCGCTTACGTATATATGTAATATATTGTAAGGGTAAGTATTGCGATCGTGAAAATTTTCTAATCTCAGTTTTCAATGGAAATACTTGTTTTGAGGTCTCCTGAGTTCAAATAACCAAATGTCGCAAAATGGTCTGTGTGTGTGTGTGTGTATTAACAGTCTAGCTCATAAACGAAAAGTAGTACGAAACTGATATTAAGTATTTAAGGTTTGTATATGGGCCGGATGTGACAGCAACTTTTTTGTTAAAATCGGCTAACCGGAAGTGCCACTTTATATGAATGCTGAAACACATTTTTACAATTTTCTCAAAAACGACTAACGATTTTGATCAAACTCTGTGCATCATTGTATAATTAAGTGGTCTTTAATATCAATTAGATCTTATCCCTGCTGATGTCACTTTACAGGGCTTAAATGCCCAATGTTCATATATGTTTTCCTCTAAAGTACCTTTAATATGGTTTATTTTAAAAAGTTAACAATTTCGCATTATTCAGAGTTATGAAAAAATCCTACATATAACTTTTGAAAGAATTTGATAAGTTAATAAAGGAGAAAAAAAATAAAAATACAGAAAAACCTGCGTTGCTATAGACTGTAGCGCCTAAACAAATGTACTGATTTCAATGAAACTTCCCTAAAGTCATTTTCTTGATACCCTTTAAATTTATCTATATAACATACTTCAACGAAAAGAAGCTGGAAAAAAAGTTACGAGGGATGTTAAAATTAAATTCCGAATAACTCAAAAAGTATACGCTTTTTTGTCGATATTTTATATGGTTTTTTAAAAGTTTATTGAATTTCCTAAAAAATTCATTAAAATCGGGCAATTAGGAGGAAAGATATGGTCTCTAGTTTTTTTCCCTGAAGAGATGAAAATTTGGATATATTTTTTTAATTGTTGAGACTAAAAAAACCTTTTTTCTAGAGATATTTAATAAAGTGTCTTCCCTAAGAACATCTTTCATAAGAAAGTAGTACCTAAACTTATACTTTTATTCTCAGTTCTATATTTCAACACTGCAATCACCACCTCTGGAATCAACTTACTCATTGTCTGCATAGATAACTTTTTCAACTAAAAATATCACTAAAATGACATCACTTAAAAATATTAAAATTGGAGTTAGTCATTCTGAAGTTTATAAAAGCAAGTTGTGTGGTTTAAAAAACCAGATGGAGTGACTAAATTTTTATTGCCTACTGTTGATATATTAAATAGACATTTTGTAATTATAATGGTCTTGATGACTTGTTATCTGTAAGCTTTAAGCTTTAGCACTTCAAAATATTTTATAATAGCCCAGCATTGCCAGAAAATAATTTCTATTCAAAGTAGATTGGTAAGTGAAAGTTGTGTGTTGCGCGCACCAGATTTTTTTTAATGTTTGGTCTTTCAAGTCAGATAAAAGAACAGTTGACTGAATTGAAGTGAAGGTGTTATGTGACAATGCACAGAGCAGAGAATGATCCTCATCAGTGACAATCTTAATCCTCGTACATTGTTATTTCACCCATGCTCAGTCATAAGTCATACAACTATTGAAGCGAAATGAGCTTAGGCTACAAAATATGTGTAAAATTGCTATGTTAATATATGTATTTTTAAAAGCTATTGAACAACTTTCTTTAAACATTAAAAAAGCATAACAAACTTTTTAAAGGAATTAATATTTCTATCATCATTAAAATATAATGGAAAAAATTATTATGACTTATCGTAGTTCAGAACTAGGTAATATGTAACTTAAATAAATATAAAAATAATTGACAGTAACATTTTAATATTTCATTAATGAAGGCCATTTTTAGCCCAATGTCTTATTTCATTTACATTGTGGGCCATTTTCTTGTCTTATACGATCATCCCTTGTCAATCCAGTCACTATTCTTTTTTTTTTATTTCTTTAGCTAAGGAAGCACAAATTGTCAACGTATACCTTGTGTCTCTCCTAGTCATATATGGTCATATTTTACCTTTTCAATAGAGTTATAGTTTATTGAAAACTTATCATAAATAGTAATATTTATTAGTCATAGTAATTAATTTTCAAACCTTAAAGATGTTAAGTTTTTTAACATGGTGAACAAATCACCCAAGAGACTTTCAGTAAGAATTAAGGTTTATCTCGAAAATGGTAGATTTTAGCACTTAAAACTCAGGGCCCAATATTGGTTCATGATTTGCATGTTGAAATCTTACAAACACAATCTTTTCATTGACTTTTAATTAAAGTTTTAAGAATTTAAGGATCGAAATTAGGATTCATCACTTCTGTATGAAATTTCCTTTTCTTTAGTTCGACACCACATTTATCAAAATCCATCACCCTTGAGAGTCAGAGAAGGTATTCTGTAATATATATAGTTTGCTTCATTTTAACAGTTGTTAAATCACCTTTCTTAAAGATAAATATCTTCAACCATTGACCCTTCGATATAACTTGATACCTTTATCAAAATTATTATTTTAACAACCTTTTTTAAATTAGTGAGGACTGAAGTGGTTTGCTTAGTTTAGATCTGAACCAAAGCAAGGATAAGCATTTAGCTACTGGAATGAAATCTTGACCAGTGTTACAGCCTTCTATATTTCAAATTATATGTTGTATTTTTAAAAATTTTTTTTATTACATTTTTATTGTATAATTACAGGTGTTCAAGAAAAGCTTGGTATCATGAATGGCGGTATTGTCTACGCTGTTTTCGACTACGAAGCCCACAACAACGATGAGCTGAGCTTCAAAGAGGGTGACCGCCTAGTCGTGCTGAGGAAGGGGGACGAGTGGGAACGGGAGTGGTGGTGGGCCCGCCTGGGCGATGCCGAGGGCTACATACCAAGGAATCTGTTGGGGGTAACTATCCGCTAATAATAATTTGAAATATAATGAAATTCTGTTCCAGGGGAATAAAAAGAAACAGTAATTGCTGATGCTGTTATTGAATATTGAAATATGTGATGTTAATATAATTAAATAATATGTGATGTTAATATAATTAAATAATATGTGATGTTAATATAATTAAATAATACGTGATGTTAATATAAAATTAAATTTTATTGTTTCAGCTCTACCCAAGAGTTCATCCAAACAAGAACCAAGAGGAATGATGTGAACCTGCCGCAGCATGTTGATGTTGTAGTATTTATCGTGGTGCATTGTACTTTAGGAAAATGTGCTCCTAACAAGGCATATATCGATTATTTTCTCTGCTTGGCATTAGTTTTTAATCGTGTGAGACTGTGGCCCAATTGGTCGTACATCATTTGCTATTAGTTACTATTTTGTTTTGAACACACCGTGTGCCTTTTATGCTTGATAGCTACTGACGTTGTAGGAGTTGAAAATTGTTTTTATTTTGTAAATAGATTCTAAAAAGAAAAAGTTAAAATAAAACCTCACTTTAATTTATTGATTTTTTGACACAAAATAAAGCTTAATTAAAAGGTATGTTATCACTGCTATAAATGATTTATTTATTTAGTTGAATGAATGAATCCTGCTGAAAATTCACTGCTCACTGAATTTTCCCTAGTTGGTCGTCTGTCATGCACCCTTTCTTTTAATAACCAAAGACACAGCAGAGCTATTTTGAAAATTTGTTGTGTCTATGACTGATGTTAATGCCTCGAACTGCCAGTCAGTGTTGTCGTAAGTCATATCTGATAATTACGATATTAAAAATAATACTTAATATTTTTGCCTTCTACAAAATTAGAACGGTTCGAAAAAGTATGGTACTACAGGGAGTAGATAACGATGACATCTCTTTAAGCTCTCAATTTCTAAGCTTGCTCCTCTTGGAAGCGTCGTGAAGATCATATCATACATTTCATGTTTAATTCATATCATATTCCATATCATTGAGATGTTGTGTTCAATAAATGATTATTTGATATCTCCTTTATAGCACCAACTTGTCAGCTTTAAATTTTCCATTAATTTATTATAAAATTTTAAATTAAAAAACTATCAAATCGATTCTATTTTAGGAAATAGCGTTGAACCATTCAAGCTAAAAAGAATTTTACATTGTATCAAAATTATAATGTACAGTAAAATCTCGTTTTCCTGTAATGAAGAAGGAACATGGATTGTAATTTGGAAAAAAAAATCTAAAAGTAATGCCTAAATGGCCTTTTATCTAATTCGATATATTATGAAATGTGTTAATATATTATGTAAACAATAACTGTTTAATTTTTATTGAAAATAATATTGTTAAATGTTTATTAGAAAGCTCATTGTTTGTTAGATCATCCAATTGAATAATTATTTCAGAATTTCTGAAAACCATTTTTCTAAATCTATTTTTTTTTTTTTTTTTACATTGAATTTCTTACTATGGATTCTTTTACAAAATGATTATTCTGTAGCTGAAATGAAATTTCGGTCTTAAAAAAAAAAAATTTTGATCATCTGTTGTTTTGTTTTTTCTTGATAGTATCAGAAATACAGATTCCATTATAATTAATTAAAAAGGCAGGTAGTTCGAGATTTTACTGTATATATTTTGTTTAATTTTTGTAAATATGATGGCAAAACTTTGAGATAAATCTTGAATTAACTTTATACATCCTTTTATGATGATCACCAAAATAAGTTATTATCCTGTTTGAATGTTTTTTTTACATATTTTTGATGTACCATATTTTTCTAACAGATATTAGCTTATTCATTGATTGTAAATTATGTCTAAGTTGATAAATTATTTAAAAGAAGAAGACTATTTCTTTTTTCTTAAGAAAAAGTTAACTTTCCATATCAGGTTTAAATAAATATATGTGAAAGGAAGGTTGGAAACTGATAATGTTTCATTATTTTTCTCTACTTGTTAATTACGATTGTTAAAAATTAATTGTATTTTGTAAATTGTAAATGGAAGATTTTATTTTATTTATGAGACGATAAACATTTGTTTATGTTGAAAATTGTTTATATACTCTGTTATTAATGTATAGACAGGTCCGCGGTGGTATGTAGATACTGAATCGTTTTGTACATATCCGATTTTTGCGTTACACTTTACCTCCTAAAACTGTACCAGATCTTGTTGTATATTATATATTATTAGCGTTTAGTTTTATCATTACAGACCAAATTCCTTCTCTGGATAAGAATTCCAATATGTTTAATTAAATGTTAATTTGTTTAAATATTGAAGAAAAATGAAATTATGTGCCTTTACCTGAACAATTATAATTAAGTATAAATAACTGAATGAAATATGTATAGAGAAAGTTATATAAAATATCATATTTGACATTGTTATTTGAAAAGTTTGTATTTTATAAAATTGTTTTAAATATATATTCAATTATGTACATGAACCTTATAAAGATGTAATTAATTTTACTTATTATACACAAATAATTATTATATTCTAGTTCATTCATCAAACCCCAAATTACATCTCTTTATTTATTTATTTTTATTTAAAGATGCAAGAAATTGTCGCCTCAAAGATATTCCGTGGTACAACCTCTTTTTATCGAATTACTAACATCCGCTTGAAACTTCCTGAATAAATTCATCTCATCATAACCTACAACTATTCTATTCACAAATACTCTTGGAATTGTGGTGTTTTCAATCTGAATATCGGCAAACTTTGTCTATTTAATTAGGTGTTAACAACTCGTAAATACTCATTTGTTTTCCACTTGGATCTTAAAATAATTTGATCATAAAATCGAGAAAAAAGTAGGTCTAGAAAAATATTGGGTCGTTTAGCCTAAATATCAAATTATCTTACGATTTAAATGGAAAGAAAATGGGTAATTACGAGTTTTTAGTTCCTAATTAAATAGGAAAACATTGCCGATCTCCAAATTGAATACGATCCAATTCTGAGAATTTTTGTAAATGTGAAACAGTTGTAGGTTACGATGAGATGAAGCTATTTACGGAGTTTCAGACAGATGTTGATAATTTGATAAAATGGGGTCTGTACCACGGAATAATAAGTTATTTTACAGGTTATTCACCTGTTATAGCCAGGGTTTTGTGAATTAGAATAGGCTGGAACCTCACAAATTTAAACAATATTCTGTTCAGAATAAAGTCAAAAGTTAAAATCTATCTATTTATTTTTTTTAAAATAACACATATATTAAGAAAATAATTACTATCAAATCTTAAAGGACTCTTTTTTTTATATATACCCTTGAACATGAATATTTCCAGAAAAAATGTTACTTTACTGAATGAAATTATTCAACCTGTAGATAAAAAATAAAATCAATTGCATTTATTTTTTAGGCTTAAGAGGTGTAATATTAATTTTTTTGTGGTATATTACACATTACATTTAAATACTTCTTTAATTTTATCAAGCTTTAATACTTTAATTGTTCCAAACATTTTAATAAGTAATAGTAATAGTATTTGTGATTGTCAAAATCAACCAACTCAATTTTTAAATTGTTTACTTAATTAAATTTTAGTAATAGATTATAATGATAAAATAATTTCCTTTAATGTAAAAAAAAAAAAGGATTTCCTACACAAAAAGTTAAGTCATGTATGCGTGCACCATCTAACTGTTGAACAAAGTCACTGTACATTATTTTTATGTGAACTCTTACACATTATTCTATATGTAGGATAAAGCTCATTTTTAAATTACTCTTTTCTTAGATTTTTTAATGATTAGATTAAAATAGATTTAAAGTAATTAAGAACTTCTCCAGAGGTGCAGTGCTTCTCTGTCACTGTTTGAGATTTTTTTTGAAATTTGTTTAAAATAACTAAGGAAAAAATGTAAACTCCAAAGAATTCCAGATTATATTAATGCTTAATTTAATATTATATATATTAGTAGTAGAAATATCATTATATAGTAGAAATATATAAATATACATATCAGTATAGTAGAAATATCATTAAATCCAAAAGGAATAAATACATAAGTGCAATATTGAGCATTATTGCACATGAGGCAGAAACCTGAACCATAAAGGAAGAGCATAAGATGAAATTCCTTGCAACAGAAATGATCTGGCGACGATTGTTGGTCAAGAAGATCCAGAATGTTTAAAAAAAATTTGGAGAGATAATGATGCTTAAGAATACCGTTCTCAAAAAGATGGAAGAAAAAGTCCCTCAGGTCATATGGAAATTTAAAAAGAAAATCTCAAGGGAGGATTACTTTTCGAAATTGATGAAAGAAGATGAGGTCAGCTCAGAAAAACAAGGAATGAGTCGGTAGAAAGTTCTGTAATAGGACATATTTTGTGAGAGAAATATGAAGGCTTTAAAATTTTGTATGTTAAAGAAACCCATTGTTTCATGAAAAAATTATAATTAGAAAAATACTAAAATATAAAAACCTTGGCTAAACTTAATTATAAAGAAATTATTTCCTCTTAAACTGCTTCCCTTGTTTTCACTTTCCATTCTTGAAATTTTAACTCCCCGAAACTAGAATTTTGACCAAAATAGTAACATACCTTTACTTATTTGTTCAATTCATATATTTTAAAACCTTTTTACATTTTTTTTTTTAAGTTAATGTGTCAAGAGTAAAATGAGTTTCATAAAAGGAATGAAATAAGTTTAATAAATCATGTATAAAAGTGAATATATTTTTAGAAACTATTGGAAAACTTTCTATAAAAATTGAAATAAAAAAATTAACTTTTTAGGGTTCAATATTCCTATCATTATTAAAAATGGAAGTTCAAAACTAGGTTAAATATTATTGAAATTAATATAAATTAACAAATATTAAAACCATTCTATAAAAATTACAGTAACATTTTTTTAAATATTTTTATTTATCTAGAAAATTAAAAATAATTGTAAATCAGAACTAATATTTATTCATAAAAATATAACTGCGTAAGTAAGCAAAAATACAAATACAAATAGGAATACCAGTTTACATTTGTATCTATTGGAACAAATGATGCAGCTCGGCCTCAATTGAAATCTTGTTCAGATAATGATTTGATAAAATATTAATTAGTTAATTAATTAAAAATGTTCAAAATCACAATCTTAATTGAGTCTCCAAACAAAGAAAAAAATACGTGATGATATAAAATAACAATGTGGCCTCAAAAATGCTGAACATTCCAGGCAAAGCGTAGTGAAGAAGGAATAATAAAATTTCTTCAAAAATTCTTTATGGACATTTTGGAGAAAACAGCTACAAGCAGAAAACGGTTTGTTACATGCTTAAGTAAGGAGATATAGTTTGTATAATAATTAAAAATATATATCTCCTCCTATTATCGATATGGTTAATCATTATTTTTTATAGATTGCTTCCATTGCTGAATGAAAGCCGAAGAAATATCATTTTGGATTGTGAAGAGAGAGTTCAGTGACAGATCATAGTTTTACTGTGTGAGTTCGGTTGAAAAAGCCAAAGGAATATCTGATACATAATCAATAATCATGTGATGAGGAGCATATAAGGCAATCATGAAAATTAATTTATCAGCCAAATTGGTTCATCTGATAATAACGATAATGGAGGGCATTCCATGCTTTGTCACAACAGGAAGAGATGTATGGTAGAATGCCAGACCTCTTTAGTATTTAACTTGTCCTTCACAAATTCATTATAAATGCATGTATTTAAACAACAGAAACACTTCTTAAAAGTCCATATTTTAGATTTGGATCTTACAGTATGGTGATAATATTGCTTGTTCACAGGAAAAAACGTCCCCTTTCCACATATTAATAGACCTAATGAATGATTAAACTATAATTAAAGTATTTGTTTTCATTTCACCTTAAATATAAATTTCATAATTAAATTTTCAAGGTATTTGGAGGGAAATGTTAGTTGCAATTCAGTATTGGTCCGCAATATTCTTGTGGATGAGTTATGACAATTAATTTTTTTTTTTTTTTTTTTTTTTTTTTTTATTTTTTATTTTTTTTTTTTTTGACTTGATTCTTCAACTCACACCTGTCAGAAGTACGACGATTAATTTAATTTTCATTTACTTATTTTTGAATTCCAGAAGCCAGCTGCAAATATCCAGACATGACAAAATATCCAATCGTGTACCAAGTCTTGGTTACTACAGTCACCTCATCGCAACACCTCTTCTAATTATATTAATGATTTTAATGAAATTTACCTTATAGAACTGTACAAAGGATGAAAAAAAAATCAAATTAAAAATATTCTATGAAACAGACTCTTATGTATGGTATCATCAATTGTTTTGTCACCACCATGTTTAAGCACCAAATGTGAATATGGCAACTTTTCATGAGACCAAAGAAGAACTTATATTTTAGTTTTAACTCTCACATTATGGATACATTTTATATGAGAGCATTAATTCATTGAGTTCAAGATTTGTGTTAATATAATTTTATTTTACAATAATTATTATGGTATATTAATAAAAGTAATTAATTCTAATAGTATAATTTGTTATATGAAAAAGTCTTATTTTGTAATGTGATACAATCACAATCTGAGGTGTATTAAAACAAAAATTGTGATCTATACAACAAACCTTTAGATGTAACATCAGAATACACTATGATCTGAGACATCAAAGCAGGAATAGTACTTTTATTATTATTATTCCAAAAAAAATTTTATATTAATTTTACACTTCATATAATATTTATGGAGTGGGGAATAAACACAAATATAAAGTAATTATGAATAAATAGAATTTTTATTAAATAAACTGTTATAATTATAATTTTTGTACTACAATTTTCCATTTTATTGTTTCAATTAAAAGCATAAAGATAATTATCCAGTTTTATTTTCTAGTTATCAGAAATTTTTAAGTAGAATATTCATCACCGTTGAACAAATCAACTTTCTTAGGGCGCAAGATCTCTCAGGTGGATTGTGTATGTTGTATGATTAAGGAACTTTTCATCATAAGCAGGAATATTGTAAACGATGAGCAATTATCTTTTTTTTTTGTTGAACAAACCCAGAAGTTCAATATACGAATAAGATTGTTATATGATTCAATATATAAGAAGAAACATGAAGTTTGTAATATCTTAAAGAAATATATGAGAAGGAGTTAGTCGAGGGTGCAGTCAAATAAATAAAAAAAATTAAAATATATAAATAATTTTAATTTTTGCCAACGTTTCGACCCACTTTGCAGGTCGTCTTCAGGGCGTAGGATGTGGCACTGCGGGAGGCAGTTGAACAGTGACAAATCCATTTATACTTAAAGAAATATAAATGGATTAATCAGTTATGCTATTGTAGAAGACCTACTTTGTAAATTATTAGTAAAAAGTATTAGTTTTATAAACTAAACATTGACTTAACAGTACAATAAATATATTTCATATCTATAATTCATCATTTTGTTTTTATGTATATGAATTTAACTTACATAGTTGTTTACTTAGTGAATATATATTATAAA